AGATCTCACCATTGCACTCCAGCTGGGGCTACAGAGTGAGACCCTGTCTAAAAAAAAGGAAGGGAGGGAGGGAGGCGGGCAGACAGGCAGGCAAAAAAAAAAAAAAAAGCCTGGAGTAGTGGCACGAACCTGTAGTCCCAGCTACTGGCAAGACTGAGGCAGGAGGATCAATTGAACCTGGGAGGCAGAGGTTACAGTGAGCTGAGATGGCACCCCTGCACTCCAGCCTGTGCAACAGAGTGAGACCCCATCTCCAAAACAAACAAACAAAAAAGAAAGACAGAAAGAGAGAAAACTAGGCCCCAGAGAGTTGGAATGACTTCCCCTGGACCATACAGCCAGCGAGAAGTGGATCTAGGATTTAAACCCAGAGAGTGGGTCCAAACCTGTACTTTACCCACTACCCGACATTGGTGAATCGTAACACGGGGCATTTCCCAATGCTTGAAGTCTGAAATGAGGCAAGAGATGTAAGGGTGGCAAGTAACAGAATCTGTATGCCCTTTGACTAGCGCAAGGATGCTGGAAACCCCTGTCATGATCCCATTCCTGCAGGACTGATAGGAATTTCTTGTTTCAGGGGGAGTTATATTTCTGAGTGCTTTGTTAGACTCTTAGGGTGAACAACAGTAGCCACCGTCTAGGTGCCAAACTGCTAAGAGCTTTCCCTTGATTTACTTAATCCTCATATGAACTCTGTGGAAGTTACCCATCCTACAGGTGAGGAAATGCTGACTAATATGCTTGAGCTGGACACTCTTACGCAGGAGCTGGTGGGAGAGCCAGGATCCAAATCCAGGTCTGGGGCTCCTAGTCCTCTGTTCTATCCGCTGCTCTTCAAGAAAACTCCACCCAGCTGGTACCTAGTATAGCACCACAGGACCTGCCCTTCTGCTGCCTCTGTTCTATTGTAGGCCTGGGAATGGCCCCAAATTGGACCCGAGGGAGGCAATCACAGGAGTTTTACTTCATGCAATATGGAAAATTATGGCCTAATTTAGGATTGTTCATAGCATGCTATACTCCAGGGAAATTACTTTTTAAAAATCAATGTTGAGGGAGAAAACTGCCTGGTATTTCACCATCTGTCTTCGCAACTGCTTCCTGTGACATTCATCCCTATCTATTGTCAAGAGTTAACCTGGACTTCTTCTAGCATACAGACAAGAAATTTTCTTAGCTGCTTGCCAGTTAACCTAACCAGAGAAACACAGCTTTCCTTAATCCACTCACAAGGCTTCATCTTATCCAAAGCATTTCTTTCCTCCCTGAGGGCCCACCGTTGGCCCATCCTGAATGAAAGCTCTGTGGTCTTAGGATGTGGAGGAGGAACTCTGTTTCAATCTAGGAACACAGTTAACCAATGCATTTAAAACAAAAAAAAAAATCCAGAGTAGCTACTTTTATGTATTGTGTTACAAAAGCCACCTTCCTCAAAAGAATAATATTCCATGTCTTTGATAATTTCTACTGCAAGGTTGTTGTAACAATTACATGAGAAAAAGGCGAGGCACAGTGGCTCACACCTATAATCCCAGCACTGTGGGAGGCCGAGGAGGGTGGGTCATTTGAGGTCAGGAGTTTGAGACCAGCCTGGCCAATATGGTAAAACCTCATCTCTGCTAAAAATAAATAAATAAATAAATAAATAAAATGAGCCAGGTGGTAGTGGCACATGCCTGTAATCCCAGCTACTTGGGAGGCTGAGGCAGGAAAATCACTTAAGCCTGGGAGGCAGAGGTTGCAGTGAGCAGAGATCACGCCACTACACTCCAGTCTAGGCAACAGAGTGAGACCCTGTCTCAAACAAACAAAAAAAAATTACATGAGAAAAATACCTAATGCTGATTATGTACCAATACCCTATTCAGCACATGACATGCATATGGTTAATGAGGAGTCTTCTCAGCAGGTACAAAGGCCCTGTGCTTCTTGAGAGATCACCCACCTCTTCTCCACAACCAACCACTGGGTCTTCAACATCTATTAAGCATAAGACGGAAGCCACAGAACACTACTTACAATGTCATCCTGTTTTAATCTTCAGAAACTTGATATTAGGTCAACTGAGAGACACCAATATGTTACCAGTTATTATAACTAGGTGACAAATGTGGAAGTGATTTTTATTCCTTTTGTTTACACATGTTCTCTAAATTTTCTGCAATGTTTAGACAAGGAAAAAATAGCATTTAAAATATTACTACCAGCCAGGCACAGTGGCTCACACCTGTAGTCCCAGCACTTTGGGAGGCTAAGGCAGGTCAATCACCTGAGGTCAAGAGTTCCAGACCAGCCTGGCCATCATGGGGAAACCCTGTATTTGCTAAAAATATGAAAATTAGCCCAGCATGGTGGTTGTGCACCTGTAGTCCCAGATACTTGGGAGGCTGAGGCAGGAGAATTGCCCGAACCCATGAGACAGAGGTTGCAGTGAGCCAAGATCGGGACACTGCACTCCAGCTTGGGTGACAGAGCAAGACTCCCTCTCAAAAAAAAAAGTTTATACCAAAAAAAATTATATAAAATCTCAAACGCTGTGATCCCCAAGTCCACTTAAGCCTAGCCTACCTCCCTGGACCCCAGTGGCCCCTAAACTACAACCTCAGCTCTGTTACTATACCCACAGCTCACCCACGGCTGACACCAAAGCAGGAATTGAGAAGGAAGAGGCTCTGGAGGAAAGGGGTGAGGCTTTTCAAGAGATTCCCGAAGTCAGCAGTCTGAGCACCATGTCACCTATGGACTCTGAAGGCCTGAGTCTGGAGCCCTCTGCAGGGTGGGACCTGCAACCACCTCCCCACCCCAAGGTAACACCCTTGGAGAAACCACTACTCTTATCCTGACCCTGCTCCCGCCTCCTCTTCCTGTCGCCCACTCTTCCTTACGGAGGCAGGCCCAAGGTAAGCCCTCTCCCTTCACACCCCACATTTGTGGATGAGGTTTCAAAGGCTAAGCTTTTCTGGAATTCAGCACATTTTGTCTCTCCCAGCTCAGAGGAATGAAAACTGTCCAGTCATGGTCCCTGCTGTCTCCAGCCTTGGTAACACTTTCTACCCAGCAGAATATGAACCTGAAATCAATTCCCTGATGCTTGAAGGTTTCATTCAGAATGCATCATCATAAACAGACCAGGAGGCTGGAGGTAATTTCTCGAGAGATTTCAAAGTTACTCCACCTGGAGCCTCAGCCATTCCCAGGAATCACAGCCCCATTCTCCGAAAATGCAGAAACCTGCCTTGCCAGAACTTTTGTCTACATCCAGGGGGAGAGTCCTAACCGGGTTATTCCCAAGCCTTCCTAGACCCTGCAGAAGAGAACCATTCGAGGTGAACAGTCCCCAGCTCTCCCTGACTTCCATACCTGGGGGAGTGAGCAGACCACCAGGACCCAGGCGGCAGCAGGCTGGGGCAGGAACTCCATCAAGGGATGGAGTTTCTTTGCCAGGACTCAGAGAACAAGGCAGACCAATCCTACTCCTGCTTGTCTCATGAGCACCGTGTGAAAGCCAATGAGGTGACAAGTCCTGTATTAGCATCGTTCATAGCCCTACTCTCCCATTCTGAGACTAGGGGGTGCTTATAATCTATTATCTAAACTGCAACATCTTGGAGAGCTAGAGGGGACACTATTTAGTTATGCCAGGACAATAGGTGTTAAACAGGAACGTCCCAGGCAAACCAGGATTTGGACACCCAAGAGAACATCTCCCACCCCTGTGGCCAGCTGCTAGAGTAGTTAGTTTCCTGCCCTCCCCCAGAATGGATACCACTGAAGAAAGTCTACTTCCCTGATCAAGCCAGGACCTCACTCAGCAAGCTCCCTTGGCATCCCAGGAAAGGAATAGGAAACTATCACAGGAACCACAAAAATGTGGATAGGGCCCTTATTTGTCTCGTTCAACAGAGTGTGCCCCGGGCCAAGAGTAGTACTCAGAAGGTAGTATATGCTCAATAAATATTTGTTGAATGAGTGAGTGAATGCCCAAACAAAGTTTCTAACATCAAGAGAACTCCAGGAAAACAGACTTGGCAATCTAGTGACACATAAAAGGGTTTGAGCTCTAAACTTATAAAAATCCAAATCATTGTATAGACTGCTATGCCTTCCCCTTCAGGGGAGTTTATACATATGAAATGTACACAGCTTTAAAATGCCAGATTGAACTGAAACTGTAAACTTCTACAATAAACTAATAGAAAACAAATTATTTCTAAGCCACTGCCAAACATCAAATAAACTTGAACTATTTCCTGCAATATCTCTAGTACAAACTCATTCAAAACTTTGTTGGGCAACATTGGGACTGAATCTAGCAAATGCTTGCTATACACATCAGGATTCCTCTAACCCCACTGTGCAGAGGTTCCCTGAGAAACAGGTGCCTGGGGAGAACTAGATTTGCAGGAGATTTAAAGAGGGGACGTGCCTAGGAAGGACAAAGGAGCAGGAACAGGAGAAGACAAGGCGGGCCTTCAGGTCACAGTACAAGATGGACACGTATGAAAACAGAGGGGGAAGGAAGGAGGACTGGATAGAAGACCCTCAGACACAGCACAGTTCTTAGGAAGTTTCAGCCAGGTTGATGGTGGGTCCTGGGGCCCAAGTTGTCCAGTAGAGAAGTCCCACATTCCAAGGAACGGGGCAGCACTAGTGCCCCACCATGTTTAGTCACTGGCTGGAAGAAAGTATGGCCTTAGCACAAACAGGGTGGTGGAGCCAGAGGGGTGGCAGCTGGGCTCTTACTCCACTGTGCTCCCGCAGCAGGAGTTCTAAGCAGCACGTGTTCAGGGCTACTGCACACTGTGACTGAAACAATATTGTCCCTGGAATGACCCTTTTCAGTGAATCCAAATAGGCTCTGTGAAATTATGCCAGTTGTCAGCTGAATACTCACAGTGGATGACACGTAAGCTAGCCCACCACCTCCATAATTCTCTCCCAAGTGCTGTGACCTTTCATTCCTACCAGCCTAGATAAAATTTTCTCATACAACACGATCAGTGACAAACTCTTATTCAGAAAATAAAAGTCTATTCTTTCATTTTATTATTCCCAAAGAATCGAACCCATCATGAGCAGCCCACATGGTGGCTGTTCAAAGGTACTGGAAAGGGAGGTATTTGGTCACCATTATCCATCAAGAATCTCTTTACAGGGATAGGTTCCAAGTCCTCATGCTGCTCTTGGTCATTCAGTGACTGCAGTCTTGGCCCAGAAGCCATCCAAGATGAGCAAGTGCTGAGCCATCCTTAACTCATACCCAGATGAAACAACTTGCGCAGAAACGCTGGTCCTCCCCAGTAACCCCTGTAAGAAATAACACAAAAAATGTACTTGCAGCAAGGCAGATGAGGTGCCTTCAGCCAGGAGGATGCTGAAAGGGAAGCCGGCTGCTCACAGAGGATGTTTATCAGCACATAAATTAGCATGATTGTCTAGTGAGTTGGAAAGATCCCGTGACTAGGAGGGGACGGCCTACTTCCAGTCCTAGCTTTGACATTGACTTGCTGTGTGAGCCTGGATATGCTGACTCAATTTGGTACACCTGTACAAGCCTCTACTACAAGCAAACTGCTACTCTTTCTGCTTTCATTAGCTCATAATTAACTATAGGTCAGGATTTCTCAATCTCAGCCCTACTGACATTTTGGACCAGGTAATTCTTTGCTGTGGGAGGCTGACCTGTGCATTATAGGATGTTCAGTAGCATCCTTGGCCCCTGCTCACTAGATGTAAGTAGCACCCCTCCAGTTGTAACAACCAAAAAAATGTCTCTGGAAATTATCAAATGTCTCTGGAGCAGCAAGGGGTAGGAAGATCACTCTTGGTTCAGGACCACTGGTGTAGATACCCTAATTTATCTCTCATATGGGTTTGGAAAAGTCAAATGAGATCATCAGCTTTTAGAATGAAAAAGGGCAGCGGGGTGCAGCGGCTTACACCTGTAATCCCAGCACTCTGGGAGGCCGAGGCTGACAGATCACTTGAGGCCAGGAGTTCAAAACCAGTCTGGCCAACATGGCAAAACCCCATATCTACTAAAAATACAAAAATTAGCTGGGGATGGTGGCACATTTCTGTAATCCCAGCTACTTGGGAGGTTGGGGCAGGAGAATCACTTGAACCCGGGAGGCAGAGGTTGTAGTGAGCTGAGATGGCACCACTGCACTCCAGCCCGGTCAACAGAGCAAGACCCTGCCTCAAAAAATTAAAAAAAAAAAAAATGAATGAATGAATAAGAGGAATTACTCATTTTTATTACTCTATTTACTTATTGAAGGCCTACTATGTACCTGCCTCTTTATGTGTTATCACATTAATCTCCATCTTGTGAGGTAGGCAAAGTTACTTTCATTTTGCAGATAAGAAACTTAACCTCAGAGAGTTTAAGCAACTTTCCCTGGGACACATAGCTCTATATGTCATGCTAATAGCATGACACTGCTAATGGCTGTCATGACACTGCTAATGACATTAACATGGCAGAAGTATGACACAAATACAGGTCTGACTGCAAAGTCTGTGCTCTTAATCACTGTTTACTTTTTCCTATAACATAATAAAAACAAAGGTAAGGGGTCAGGCACTGTGGCTCACCCATGTAATCCCAGCACTTTGGGAGGCCGAGGAAGGCAGATCAATTGAGGTCAGGAGTTCAAGACCAGCCTGGCCAACATGGTAAAACCCCATCTCTAGTAAAAATACAAAAATTAGACGGGCGTGGTGGCAAGCATCTGTAACCCCAGCTAATTAGGAGGCTGAGGCAGGAAAATTGCATGAACCCAGGAGGTGGAGACTGCAGTGAGCCAAGTTCATGCTGCTGCACTCCAACCTGGGCAACAGAGCAAGCCTCTGTCTCAAAAAAAAAAAAAAAAAAAAAGGTAAGGTAGCAGATGACAGAGTACTTGATATGTGAAAGTGATTTACTATTATTATTTATCCAGAAGCAAAAGAGGACCCAGAGCATGGAAGACGGAAGATTTAGTCACTGCTAATTAGGAGAAAAGAGGCTACATCCCCTGCGGGTGGAGATGTGCTACAAATCTCTTTCCTCATCCAGAAAACAGGCAGTGCACTTACCTTAGCATCATATTCCAATACAGAAGAGGCATCAGGTCAGCTTTCATGAGGTACATGGAAAGGCGCTCTTTGCTTTGATCAACAGGGAAGGTTTCTAGCGGCTCCGCTTTGTAGTCAAACTCAGCAAGAATCACACGGTTGTAGCCGGTCACCAGTGGACATGATGTGTAGCCATCATACTAAAATTGCAAATCAGACTGAGTTGGAAAGTAGATTTTTTTCATGGTACTATATTAATAATTTAGAATTTATTATTTGCTTTGAGTAATTATAATTTTTTTTTCTTTTCTGTATATTCTAACTTTTTGCACTGTGAAAAATGTAAACTATATAATAAAAAAAATAGTACTAATGGCAAAAACAGAAATGCCCATATTGGAGACACTAATTAAGAAAGTGCAAAACCATGGGAAAACACTACTTTCACACTGAATGGAAGATGATCATTGAGACAGTAAGTTTTACGAGGCATACGAACCTTCTTTGTTGGTGTTTGATTCTTCATAATCAGAGAAATTGTTCTATCAAGTATTCCTGACTGGGCAGCTATAAGATAAATCAAAAAGTCAGAAAAACATAAGCCTCTAGGTTTTCCATGAAAACTAATTTGCAAATAACTTTCATGTAAACACTTTTAAGAAGATTCCACTTCCTGTCCCTCGAGACTGTGACGAGAACATGACCTTCTTTTTTTTTTTTTTTGAGACGGAGTTTCACTCTTGTTACCCAGGCTGGAGTGCAATGGCGCAATCTCGGCTCACCGCAACCTCTGCCTCCTGGGTTCAGGCAATTCTCCTGCCCCAGCCTCCTGAGTCGCTGGGATTACAGGCACGTGCCACCATGCCCAGCTAATTTTTTGTATTTTTAGTAGAGACGGGGTTTCACCATGTTGACCAGGATGGTCTCGATCTCTTGACCTCGTGATCCACCCGCCTCGGCCTCCCTTCTTACCAGCTGAAGTTCTGACTACCAGAGGGGGTTCTTTCATTCATGAAAGGCCCACACATGTGGCTCCATGGGTTTGAAACTAAAGTGCCGACTCTCTCCAGTGCGGCTGTAAGGATGGCCCTACCCTAACTCCAATGCCTCTCCTCCTGGGGTCGAGGCTGTCAACTTAGTCTGTGTGTCAACTTAGTCAGTGTTCTTGGCCATGCGGGTTATCCCTGTGTCCCTGTTCACAGGCAGTCTGGATTGGTAGCCCCATGCATTTCCATTAAGACAAAGCACAGTTTCCTCTCTACTGGACTGCCCTGGCTGAGGCAGGGCCAGATGGATATGGATTTAGATATAGATATAGATATAGAGATCCACCTGCATTTCCATCTCTCCGTCTCTTTCCTAGATAGACAAAGATAGATAGATACATAGATAGATGGATAGATACACAGATAGGAATTTGTTTTTGTTTTTCTTTGGCAAGAGTGGGGAGACTGCCTTTTTTATTATGAAAATGTTCAAATTCCATCATTCTTGTTTCATCCTTCTCATCACACATACTATTTTTTTCCTACTGTATTGTTAGAGCAGATATCACATCAATTCACTCATAAATCTTTCTGACTATATCTCTGATAGGGAATTTTCTTAACACAAACGCATAGCATTTTCACACCACCAAAATATTAGTAATAATTCCTTTCATATAATCTAAACCCAGTCTGTGTTCAATTTTGATAATTAAAACTGCCCAGCCAAGTGCTATGGCTCACGCCTGTAATCTCAACACTTTGGGAGGCTGAGGTGGGTGGATCATTTGAGGTCAGGAATTCAAGACCAGCCTGGCCAACATGATGAAACCTCATCTCCAAAAAAAATACAAAAATTAGTCAGGCGTGGTGATACACACCTGTAATCCCAGCTATTCGGGAGGCTAAGGCAAGGGAATTGCTTGAACCCAGGAGGCAGAGGTTGCAGCAATCCGAGATCGCACCAGGGAACTCCAGCCTGGGCAATGAAGTGAGACACCACCTTGGAAAAAAAGAAAAAAAAGACTGCTCTTTTAAAGAAATGGCAGTTTGTGGCTGGGCACGGTGGCTTACACCTATAATCTCAGCACTTTGGGAGGCCAAGGTGGGCAGATCACTTGAGGCCCAGAGGCCTAGAGGTGGCCTAGAGGTAAAGCATGGGATTCACTTTTGAGGAAAGATGGGTTACCTTTGTATTATAAAATGCTTATTCAAGTAGTTATTTTGTAATCCCCCAAATCAGGGTCTACTTTTTCTGTAAAGAAACGTTGCAGGACTTGTGGGCCAAAAGGGTAAAATCAAAGATACTATATAACAAGAAAAAACAAATTTCCACCAAAAAATCTTATTGAGAAAATTCTAAACATAATAATATGTTTGTAATATAGGTCTACTAATGAGAAGAATAAAATTATTTTCCTTAGAATGAGAAAAAGAGTTAGCTAGCATTCCCTATCTTCAAAATGACTGTAAATGTTCACCTGTAGAAACCATTCTTTGCCACCTATACAAAAATAGGCAATGGGCTGTACTTGACCCTTAAGCTCTAGTTTCCTGATGCCCAAATCAAAGAAGCAATGATTTTTTTTCTAGAATGGGGTTGCGGGGGGGTGGTTCAAAAAAATGAATAGTAAACAGCTCTTCATAAAAATATCAAATGATGCTGGCATGGTGGCTCACACCTGTAATCCCAACTTTGGGAGGCTGAGGGGGGTGGGTCACTTGAGTTCAGGAGTTCAAGAACAGCCTGGCCAACATGGTGCAATCCCGTCTCTAATAAAAATAGAAAAATTAGGCAGGTGCCTGTAATCCCAGCTCCTCGGGAGGCTAAGGCAAGAGAATTGCTTGAACCCAGGAGGTAGACGTTGCAGTGAGCCAAGATCGTGCCACCGCACTCCAGCCTAGGCGACACAGCAAGACTCTAAAAATATGTACATATTAAATGAGGCCAAGCGTGGTGGCTAATGCCTATAATCCCAATGTTTTGAGAGGCCAAGGCGGGAGGATCGCTTGAGCCCAGGAGTTTGAGACCAGCCTAGGTTACATAGGGAGACCCTGTCTCTACAGATAATTTAAAATTTTCCTGGGTGTGGTGACACATGCCTACAGTTCAAGCTACTTGGGGTGGGGGATTGAAGTGGAAGGATCACTTTGATCCCAAGAAGTCAAGGCTGCAGCGAGCTGGGATCGCTCCACTGCACTCCACCCTGTGCGACAGAGCGAGACCCTGTCTCTCAAATAAAGAAAAAAATTAAATGGCTATATTCACTGTTGGCAAAGCAACATCTCTAAAGATCATATTTCCCTTTTGGAAAGCCGTGTTCTTCCTTGAGGGCCATAAACAGTGTGGAATCTGGGCTAACAACATCTGAGGAGGTCACAGCAGCAGGACATCAAGGCCAATGGAAAAGGAGCAGAGATGTCCAGGGGTGCCACTGCAGAGAGGTGAGGCCTGGCGAGCCAGGAAGCCGTCACCCAACGTCAGCCTTGAAGTGTGCATGGTGCAGGTGTACGGGAGTTTCTACCCTGTATTACAATCCCCTTCTATCATGCCCATGCCTTCAGTTAACTTTTGTTAAATGCCACATCCTGATCTTAGCTGTGCTGGGAGTAATTAAAGGAGCATCCTGGGGCAGAGAGAAGTGGACATGAGCTCAGGGAAGCCAGATGCAACACGGCAAGCTGGGTCTTGCCTGCATAGCACAGGGGTCTGAACAGAGGCTTGGTGGCAAGTAAACCCAAGAACAGATTAGTGAAACGAGTGTCGCATTGCCTTGGGATACTCAGAGGATTTGGGGAAGGAAATCTAAGAAAAAAATGCAGATCTGCTTGAGAAAAGCTAGTACTATTGTAATTTGGACACCGAAGAGAAGAGCAAATAGACCTTCACACGTGAAATATTAGGTCGGTGCCAAAGTAACTGCGGTTTTTGCCATTAAGAGTAAAGGCAAAACCTGCAATTACTTTGGCACCAACCTAAATAACAGATAAAGAGCACTCATTATGGTACTGTTTGAAATAAAAACGGGTTGGAAACAACCCAGATATAATTAAGAGTGGACTCAATAAATAAGCTCTAGAGCAACCAGAGAATAGGTTGCAGATTGTAAGACACAGATGTAAAAACAATGGGGATGCTCTCCTCTTGGTTAGGGGAACGTGGAAGCCACACAGACGCACTGCACGACTAGGAGCAAGATTTTCCACTTAGAACTTTTTGTTTGATCATATTCAGTCTTATCTATTTGGAACATTGAATTAAGCTGGGTCATCTGGGCCTCACATCACAGGTAATTTCACCACATAAATTCAGCAGGCTTACATTACATGAACTCAATCCAAAGTATCACCCCACAGACTACCTATAAATTACAAGACAGTGAGTTCTTTTATAATGGAAAAAAAAGAAAAAGAGAAACTATCTCTTAACCCAGTGAGGAAGTCTAGCTTCACCAAAGACAAGACAAACTAATGTGATGGGCTCCTGAGATGCCACAGAGGGAGGTACACAGCCTCAGGTATGGAGATTCTTGCCAAAGCATATAACCTGAACCTAACCATAAGAAAACAACTAGACAAGGCCAGGCACAGTGGCTCACGCCTGTAATCCCAGCACTTTTGGAGGCCAAGGCAGGGGGATCATAAGGTCAGGAGTTTGAGACTAGCCTGACCAATATGGTGAAACCCCATGTCTACTAAAAATACAAAAATTAGCCGGGGATGATGGCATACACCTGTAATCCCAGCTACTCGGGAGGCTGAGGCAGGAGAATCACTTGAACCCAGGAGGCAGAGGTTGCAATGAGTCAAGATCGTGCCACTGCACTCCAGCCTGGGCGACAGAGGAAGATTCCATCGAAAGAAAGAGAGAGAGAGAAAGAGAGAGAGAGAAGGAAGGAGGGAAGGAAAGAAGGAGGGAAGGAAGGAGTGAAGGAAGGAAGGAGGGAAGGAAGGAAGGAAGGAAGGAAGGAAGGAAGGAAGGAAGGAAGGAAGGAGAGAAAGAAAACAACTAGACAGTTCTAAATTATGGGGTATTCTACAAGATAACTAGCCTGGAAACTTCAAAAATGTCAATGTCGTGAAAGTAAAGAAACAAATGTCAGAAGGCCTGTTCTATATTAAAGGGGACCAAAGAGAAATGACACCCAATGTCCTGTGTGATCTTTGACTGGCTGATGGATTTAAGGAAAGGAGAGGCTGGGGCAACAAAGGACATTTTTCGGAAAATATACATAAATATGGGCCGGGCACAGTGGCTCACGCCTAGCACTTTGGGAGGCAGAGGCAGGTAGATCACCTGAAGTCGGGAGTTTGAGACCAGCCTTGCCAACATGGTGAAACCCCGTCTCTACTAAAATCACAAAGACTAGCCAGGCATGGTGGCACACCCCTGTAATCCCAGCTACTCAGGAGGCTGAGGCAGGAGAATCACTTGAACCAAGGAGATGGAGGTTGCAGTGAGCTGAGATTGTGCCACTGCACTCCAGCCTGGGCAACAAGAGCAAAATTCTGACTAAAAAAAAAAAATAAATAATAATAATATATATATATATACACACACACACACACACAAAAAAAAATATATATATATATGTATATATACACATAAATATAATGAAGCAAATATCATAAAATATTAATAATTGATTAATACCTGAAGGGTATATGAGTATTACAATTTCTTTCAAATTTGTATAGGTTTGAGATTTTTTTAAAATAGAAAGTTGGATGGAAATTAGTATTAACAATGAAAAAGATATTCAGTGAATTTCCTGGATAGTCTACCTTAACATTGAAACAGTCAGCAAAAGTAACACAATCCGTTCCACAGGTGTCTAATTCACACAAAACACTACCATAACCATCAGGAGGAAGGTCCTGTGTTTTATAACATCCAGAGAAGACGGTTTCTGTCAGTAGAAGACAGAATCTAAAAGGCAATTCTCCCCATCACTGCTGGTGCAGAACATTAGGTGAAGAATTTAGTTTTCCAGGCTGAGGCCTTAATCGTGTACCACTCAGAGCATGCTCCAATGTATTTGTCTTAACGGGACAATTTTCTGGTCTGTAAGCTTTCATTGACTTGCATGTGTTTTCTGGGAAAGCAAATGCTTCCCTGGCTTTATGGTGTTTTAGGCAGAAGACAAGCAGCCAACCTGCCTGGTGTCAGAGGCAAAGAATGCCAGAGATGCCAGTATGGCAGTATGGGAAGTAACCGAATTCTAGAGAGCTGGAAAGGTGATGTATTCTTTCTAATGCCCCTTCTTCTGACAACAACCCCTCTGACATAGAAAAGGCAGATAAGATCATGCTACCCTGGGGCAAAGTACTCAAAAGGTACTTTTTTATTTATATGACACTGGGTTCATTGACAACTTGCTTCTGTCTTAGGAAGGTCAAAGTCATTTTTAGGACACAAAAGTTTCTTCATTATTAATGGAACGATGTTGGTGCCAAGCTTTTTTCTTTTTTTTTTTTTAGATGAAGTCTTGTTCTGTCACCCAGGCTGGAGTACAGTGGTGCAATCTCGGCTCACTGCAACCTCCACCTCCCAGATTCAAGCAATTCTTCTGCTTCAGCCTCCTGAGTAGCTGTGATTACAGGCACCCACCACACGCCCGACTAATTTTTGTACTGTTAGTAGAGATGAGGTTTCACCATGTTGGCCAGGCTGGTCTCAAACTCCTGGCCTCAAATGACCTGCCTGCCTCAGCCTCCGAAAGTGGTGAGATTAAGGCATGAACCACGGTGCCTGGCCGGTGCCAAGCTTTTGTTTTTGCTACAATTGTGCCTTGAAGTGACATATTTTTTAGAAAGAGAGAAAGAGCTGGTTATCTTACCTACTGCAGCAGCAGTCTTGGACGTAGGAAGGTTGGTGCAGTCCCCAATCCCAAACACGTTTGGGTACCTCTTGTGTTGCAGAGTTTCTTTATCCACATCCACCCAGCCAGCAGCATCAGCCACAGGACTGGTCTTGAGGACGTCTGGTGGGCTCATTGGTGGTGTGACATGAAGCATTTCATACTACACACAAGGAGAGAATCCACATTTGCATTTATTCAATATTTCTACAGGTCCACAAGCTCTTCCACAAACTTCCTTACTCCATACACTGTGCTATGGCTGCATAGAGCATTATATAATCAGCACTTGTACCAGTCCACGCCCTCTCTAAGATCTTATGTGTTCTCCTGGAGGGTGGTGATAAACTAAATAACCATTCTCTCGGTTGACATGATCCTCCCGTACAGAGACCACGAGATCCCTGTGGCCACACACACAGGGGCTTATGAGATATTGGAGTAAAGCTCACTATTATTCTGAAAGAATCCATTGATGTTTCTATTAATGCTAAAATAAGGGGGTGGTATACTTCAGTTGCAGTCTCCCTGACCCTCAGCTGTCAGCTTGTAAAGTTTAGCACCTCCATGTTATTCTGTAAGGTGATGCTCAGCGTCACCATAAAGGCCATGTTGGGAGCTGGTAAGAAAGCATCATTGCCAAGTATGTGTCAACTACAAAACACATAAAGGAAACTGTCAGAACACCAATTTAAGTCGAACAGAGGTGGTAAAAATATTACCTAGCACTTTGGAAAAGGAGCAAGGGGTCTGATTCAGTACTGGATTTACTTTTCAGTGCAGAAGGCAGGGGTGAATTTTTTTTTTCCGGAACACCATATCAAGGTTACCCTTGGTGAGTAGTGCCCTGACCCATCCTGATCACTTTTGAGGGTTCACTTAACTTTTTTTGTTTATGTAATATTCTTTCACATTTTGTAGTTAATTCTTTTATTCTTTTTATTTATTTTTAACAAACTCCATTCAGCAACTTCATCAGTTTGCTAGTGGGTCCAGTTAAGGATGCATTGATTGAAATGTTCACGGCATGTCATTGGGGTAAAAACTTAAGCACTTCAAGGCAATTCCAACCTTGTGAGATAGTGGATAGCCCTTTGTTTCCGTAAGAAGTCCCGTGGCCTCAGAGAGGCTCAGCAGTCACTGATGGCAATAGGAATTAGGAAGATGACTTGCACTTACTACAACTCTCACACAAAAATAAGCTTAATTAGCCTCAGGGAAGGAGCACTGCAAATGGCTGCCACTCCTCTGCAGGATAATCTGGGGTGGGGGTTGGCCCTTAGGGACACGGGTCCCTGAGGCCAGGTCTGTTAATGAACATTAAAACTGAATGCATGTTTGCGAGATAATGGGTGAAATGGTCAACAACTATCATCTACCAAATTATTAATGCCCTGTCTGCATTTTTGCAGTCAGAAAGAACTACTTTTGAGAGTGTCTCACTCTGTCACCAGATTGGAGGGTGGTGGCTTGATCACAGCTCACTATAGCCTCGAACTGCTGGGCTGAAGCGATCCTCCTGCCTCAGCCTCCCGAATAGCTGGGACTACAGGCGCGCACCCTGTTGCCACCCCCAGCTCATTTTTTTTTTCTTTTAGTAGAGACTCAGTCTTGCTGCATAGCCCAGGCTGGTCTTGAACTCCTGGGCTCAAGCAACCCACCTGCCTCAGCCTCCTAAAGTGCTGGGATTACAGGTGCAAGCTACCACACCTGACCTAGAACTACTTTTTGAACTGAGGTCTAAACCTTACTGGAGTCATCTAGGCGGAGTTAATGTGTTTGAATTTCACAAGTACACATATATTCCACACATCTTTTCTAAAAGGAAAGTTAAATATTTTCATATAATCATCATAAAGGTATGGACTTTTACCTGAGCTAACATCCTACAAAAGAAGAAATACTAGGGTCTACTTTACAGATTCATTAGAAATTAATGGCCAGGCGCAGTGGCTCACACCTGTAATCCCAACACTTTGGGAGGTCAAGGCGGGAAGATCACTTGAGCTCAGGAGTTCGAGACCAGTATGGGTAACATAGTGAAACCACTGTCTCTACCAAAAACACAAAAAATTAGCTGGGCATAGTAGCACATACTTGTAGTCCCAGCTACTCAGGAGGCTAAGGTGAGAGGGTGGCTTGCTTGAGGCTGGGAGGTGAGGGCTGCAGGGAGTAGAGATCGTACCACTGCACTCCAGCCTGGGTGACAGAGCAAGACCCTGCCTCCAAAAAAAAAAAAAAAAAAAAAAAAAAAGAAAAAAAAATTAACACTGGGCTGGGTGTGGTGGCTCACATCTGTAATCCCAGCACTTTGGGAGGCCAAGGTGGACAGATCACTTGAGCCCAGGAGTTTGAGACCAGCCAGAGCAGCATGGTAAAATCCAGTCTCTACAAAAAATACAAAAATTATCCAGGTGTAGCATGCCTACAGACCCGGCTACTCAGGAGGCTGAGGTGGGAGTATTGCCTGAGCCCTGGAAATGGAGGCTGCAGTGAGCCACGAGCCGTGATGGCACCACTGCACTCTAACCTGAGTGACAGAGTGAGACCCTGAAAAAAAAGAAGGAAGAAAGGAAGGAAGGATGGAAGGAAGGAAGGAAGGAGGGAAGGAAGGAGGGAAGGAGAGAGAGAGAGAAAGAAAGAAAGAGAGAGAAAGAAAGAGAGAAACAGAGAGACAGAAAGAAAGAACAAAAGAAAGAAAGAAAAAGAAAGGAAGAAGGAAGGAAAAGGAGGGAAGGAAGGAAGGAAAGAAGGAGGGAGGGAGGGAAAGAAAGAAAGAAGGAAGGAAAAAAGGAAAGATTGGCACTTAGTTGTAGCTTGCTCATTATCCATCATTCATTTCCGTAACTGTATAGGATAAATAACTTGGTCCTCCTTTATTAACATACATAGTCCATTCCATGTGACGGTTTTCAAATGTTAATGTTTATTAGCAGCATTTGGGAGACTTGTGGGAAATACAAGTTCCCAGGCTGCACCATGCCTAGATCCCAATCTAGTAGATCTGGGTAAAGCATAGGAATTTGTACTTAAACAACATCTGCTAGTGATTCTGACATGTAAAACCTGCGGATCACTTTCTCACAAGCTCTGGCTTAAAGAAACAGATTCATTTACAAAGAAAGACAGAATGCTATTACTTGGACAAGTCACTTCATCTCTTTGGTCTTTGATTTGCTTATCCATAAAGAAATACACTAGGCTAGACGACCTCCGAAGTCTCTCCTAATTGCAGGACTCTGTAGTGTAAAACAAGGTAAGATTTTTTTTTTTAACTTAGGAGACTGGGATCAGTTCACAAGCTCCCTAATAAAGATTCAAGATTGTAAACTTTGGGCTACATTTAATTATTCTTTTTTTTTTTTTTTTTAGGACAGAGTCTCGCTCTGTCGCCCGGGCTGGAGTGCAGTGGCGTGATCTCAACTCCCTGCAACCTCCACCTCCCAGGTTCAAGCAGCTCTCTGCCTCAGCCTCCTGAGTTGCTGGGTTTACAGATGCCCACCACCACACCTGGCTAATTTTTGTATTCTCATTAGAGACAAGATTACAACATCTTGGCCAGGCTGGTCTTGAACTCCTGACCTCGTGATCCACCCACCTTGGCTCACTCAGATGGACTCTCTCCAATGGGCTCTTTTGTAAAGTAAAAATGAGCTCTCACTCATAGCCCATTTGAGGAGCAGCAATTTAAAAGAGCTAGAGCTGGAGGGACCTTCCAAAGTCACTTACAACTACGTGACGGCAGGAAAAAGGAAAACTACAAAAAGGACACACATAAAAACAAAGAGCAGTAATTCAAGACCCTTTTGTAAAGTGAGAACTAGCTCCAACCATTCCAGTAGATTCTGCGTGCATAATTACACAGCAGCTATTCAAAATGATGACCCTGAGCTGGTTCAGATAGATACTCAACGAGGCTGGGACAACCTGTGACATCAAAACGTAAGGACGTGCTCAAACACATGATGGAGCATGCCACAGGGACAGAAAACCCAGCTGGAAAAGGTGCCTACTGACCAAATCCAGAATCATTTGAGCACCAAAATAAGGACAATAATGAATGATACAGCATTGTAAAAAATAAAGGAACTCATGAGTTCATACCAATAAACTAAGAGAGAACCAAAGCAAAGACTCTTGCTGACAGAATGCCAAGAGCTTACTGGTAAGTGTACAGAAATGCTAGTTAGAAAATCATCATTTTGCAACCACCACAGTAAAGATCACATTAGGCACGAATCGTCAATGTATGCTATCTCCTGGGGAGAGATTTGAATAAATAGACTATTTGCATGGTTTTAAAGTGTCTTCCCACAGCCTTATTAGTAGCAAGGGAGAAAAACAATTGTAATTATTCAGTTGGAAAACTGGACCATATCTTGACTGATGATCAAAATTAACATCATCAATGGAGGCAGATGAACATTGTTTGCTTGCAAACGTGACACCTTAGAAGAATGCAATGCTTAAGCAATGTTCCAGTATGATAAAACAGAGCCTGAGGCTGGGTGCAATGGCTGTCGCCTATAATCCCAGCACTTCGGGAAGCCAAGCAGGCGGATGGCTTGAGGTCAGGAGTTTGGGACCATCCTAGCCAACATGGTGAAACCCCGTGGCTACTAAAAATAAAAAAAATTTTTTTTAATTAGCCAGGCATGGTGGCACACACCTGTAGTACCAGCTATTCATGAGGCTGAGGCAGGAGAATCACTTGAACCTGAGGAGCAGAGGTTGGAGTGAGCTGAGATTGCGCCACTGCACTCCAGCCTACACAAAACAGCGAGACTTTGTCTCAAAAATAAATAAATAGCAGAGCCTGAAACTAATCACAAGAAAACACAGACAAACCCAAAATGAGGAACATTCTACTGAAAGAAAAGTGGTAGGGAAAGGGCTGTATTATTTCTTTTTTATTTTTTTTATTTTTTAATTTTTTAATTATTATTTAACTTTTTCTTTTTCTTTCTTTTTTTTTTTTTTTTGGAGACGGAGTTTCGCTCTTGTTACCCAGGCTGGAGTGCAATGGCGCGATCTCGGCTCACCGCAACCTCCGCCTCCTGGGTTCAGGCAATTCTCCTGCCTCAGCCTCCTGAGTAGCTGGGATTACAGGCACACACCACCATGCCCAGCTAATGTTTTGTACTTTTAGTAGAGACGGGGTTTCACCATATTGACCAGGATGGTCTCGATCTCTTGACCTCGTGATCCACCCGCCTCGGCCTCCCAAAGTGCTGGGATTACAGGCTTGAGCCACCGTGCCCGGCCTAACTTTTTCTTTTTAGAGATGGGGTTTCACCATGTTGGCCAGGCAGATCTCGAACTCCTGTTCTCAAGTGATCCATCCGCCTCGGCCTCCCAAAGTGCTGGGATTACAGGTGTGAGCCACCGCGCCCGGCCTCAGGGCTGTATTATTTCAAAATATCAAAGTCATAGAAGACAAAGAAAAGCTATAGAAATGTCCCAGGTTAAAGGAGGCTAAATAGACATCACAATTAAACGCAACCTCTGGCTGAAGACTGAGTCCTGAACTGGAGAGGAAAAAATGCTGTAATGCAGTCAGGTCAATCAACTAAACTGGAATACAAATAGTAGGTTAAAATATTTCTTTCTTTCTTTTTCTTTATATATATATATATATAAATATATATTATTTATGTCCCATGGCTGGGACAGTTGAAGAAATTATACAATGATGTTCAGCATTTTCCCCTTCCCACATGGACTTTAGATTAAGGATGACAGCATGAGGAAATGGAGCAAGAAATACAAAAATGATATAAAATTGCAAGTGACAGCCAAGGAGTTTGGGAACCAGGGAGTCCAGGGATCCTGCTCTCTCCATTCCTTTCTCACCAACTTTTTCCTATCCAATCTGAATGACAGCCTGAGTACTGAATGCCCAGTCACGAGAAAAGTATATACACACCTCCCCTCCCCAACATGCACATCAGCAAGTCTATCCGTCATTCTCATTGGGCCAAATGTTGGGCATATCGGAATCTGTGATGTGAGAGGGCAAGAGGATTGCCGAATCTTGCTCTCTTGAACGTTAGTTCTCACCCTGGCCTTCTCTTTCTTTCTTTCCCTCCCTCCCTCCCTCCCTCTTTCCTTCCTTCCTTCTTTTCCTTCCTTCCCTCCTTTTTATTCTTTCCTTCCTTCCTTAAAATATTGCATCTGTGCTAATTACTGAGCTGATAACTGTACTGTGGTTATGTAAGAGAACACTCCTAGTTAATTAACACTTAAGTATTTGGGGCTAAAGAGACCTGATGCATGATATATGCAAATTTCCTCTGGGAAAATGAGAGAGAGAAAAAGATCAAACAACAAAGCTAAAGCAAATGGGATAAAATTTTATAAGTGATCTAAGTAAAAGCTATATACAATTTTCTTTGTACTATTTTTATTTTTGCAACTTCTCTAAGTTTGAGATTATTTCTTGTTTGTTTTTTTTTTAAGATGGAATCTCACTCTGTCGCCCAAGCTGGAATGCAGTGTTGCAATCTCAGCTCACTGCAGCCTCCGCCTCCCAGGTTCCAGCAATTCTCCTCCCTCAGCCTCCCGGATAGCTGAGATTACAGGCACATACCATCACACCCAGCTGATTTTTGTACTTTTAGTAGAGACGGGACTTCATCACGTTGGCCAGGCTGGTCTCGAACTCCTGACCTCAGGCAATCCACCCACCTCGGCCTCCCAAAGTGCTATGGATTACAAGCAAGAGCCACAGCGCCTGGCCTGAGATTATTTCCAAATAAAAGTTTTTAAAGTTATAACCCTGAATAATCAGTAACTGAAATGATATTTAGTATACTATTTTAAAAAGAAAAGATGTATGCAATACATTTTAGAACGAGCTGAGCTAAAAAGCTTAAAATTTGAAGTTTTGAAGTTTAGAGGAAATTTAGTCTTTGGTTCACTTCAAAATTCCTTTTCATGGAACCCTTCATTTCTCGAAAAATTTGAATGAATAAAATGTGACTCTGTAACACTCTGTCATTGGCAACAGCTTTTGCCAGAATGATGTAAACAAATATTCTTCCATGCATGTTTCTGCAGATGCTTTTACATCTTGTTCCTAGTCTCATAACACCTCCAGAATGTACTATTCCCACTTCACAGAAGAAGAAACTGAGACACAAAGGCCAACCCCATACAACAAAGGCCAAATCTTTCCAAGAAGCCTGGTAGCTCTGCTAGACCCTTTAAGGGGAAATATTTTTAAAGGCAGCCTCTTCCACAGGTGACAGACATCCCTATTGTTCTCTTATTTTTTATTTATTTCTTTCTTTGAGACAAAGTCTTGCTCTGTTGCCCAGGCTAGAGTACAGTAGTGTAATCTCGGCTCACTGCAACCTCCACCTCCTGGCTTCAAGCGATTCTCCTGCCTCAACCTCCCAGTAGCTGGAACTATAGGCACGTGCCACCATGCCCAACTAATTTTCATACTTTTAGTAGAGACAGGGTTTCGCCATGTTGGCCAGGCTGGTCTCAAACTCCTGACCTCAAGAGATCTGCCCACCTTGGCCTTCCAAAGTGCTGGGATTACAAGCGTGAGCCACCATGCCCATCCAATCCCTGTTGTTCTTGAACTACCCACAGGGTTACTTTCTGCTCACAAGCAGGGCTTTCTCACATGCCACCAGTTGAGACAATCCCCAGATCTTGTATTCAAGGAAGGCCTCCCTTACCTCTATACGATAACCAAAGCTGTGGAATATTTTTTGGCTACTTCAAGTGATTCGATGCCAAGAAAAACTGAGTCAAAGAAATAAGACCAAAATTCACTTGGCACCAGTTAACCACGCCTTCTCACCTCCCACTGATGAAGCCTCTTACATCTTTCTCTTCCCTGCCCATTTTGGCCTACCTTCTCGCCCTATCACTTCCCTAAGATGCTCGTTTCACCCAGCCTTCCCCAGCACACAATGATGGTAGTCAGGGTGGTGTGCGCCTCATGTACCTATGGCGCATTTCAGCATTTCAACAGACGGTGCTTCAGGCTGACAGCTTAACCTCACCACTCACTGAAATCACTTGGGTCTCTCCAGGTTTGTCCAGGTTTTCAAATACAGCCTCCTGTTTATCGGCTCGGACTTCAATGAGGTTTTGCTTGTAGTTAACAGTGAGGTTTCGCTCCCGGATGATCTCCTGCAGGGCATCTGCATACTTCTTAACCCCGAAAATGGCTCCAAGAGAAGTGTTGAAAATGATATTGGCCTTGGATCGCTTCCCTGTCTGAGAAAAATAAGAAAACCACCAACACCAAAGCATGACTCCAGCTGCCTTCTTTTTTAAATCTAGACAAGAATTAAAACCCTCAGCAGAGATCTTGCTAGCTTTTGCCATCACTATACCCCGGCAGGGCGATGGGTAGGCCAATCCACTGCCTCCTCGTTTTGTTCTGCCCATGACCTACAACTAAGTACCCATGTGAGTTGGGGGCGGTGGGCACTGTTCAGCTGAAGGCCAGAAGTGAAGGTTAAGTCCAGGTCAAGACAGAATAGAGCAGAATGGAGTATTTATTCATATATTCATTTATTCATTCACTTAATAAATATTTAACGAAGTTCTAGAGTTAGCCAGATACTGTCCTAGGTGCTAAGGGAACAGCAGTGAGCAAAACTGAGATCCGGCCAGGCGCAGTACCTCACGCCTGTAATCCCAGCACTTTGAGAGGCTGAGGCGGGCAGATCACCTGAGGTCAGTAGTTCAAGACCAGCCTGGCCAACATGGTTGGAGATCAGCCTGTCTCTACTAAAAACACAAAAATTAGCTGGGTGTGGTGGCAGGCACCTGTAATCCCAGCTACTCAGGAGGCTGAGGCAGGAGAATCACTTGAACTCAGGTGGCAGAGTTTGCAGTGAGCCGAGATTGCACCATTGCACTCTAGCCTGGGCAACAGAGTGAATCTGTCTCAAAAATAAACTAAAAAACAGCAACAAAACAAACAAACAACAAAAAGAAAAACCCTGAGTTTCTACCTTCTTGGTATTGTTCATAGAAACCAATATCCTCCCAAATGCCTAAGATCTTATTGTACTCCAAAGACAGCCTTCCTCTCAGGCCACCCAGGACTTGAGAGAAAAGAGTCACACAAAGGAAGTTTCCAGGACGGAAGGAAGGGCTGGTTTCTCACGCTCTTCTTTGCTTGGCTCCCTTCAGGACTTGCTCACTCGATCTCACCATCTGAAGAAGTTAGGTGGGTAAGTGCCACAAAAGGCTGTGCCAACCCTTTAGGACCCAGCACGAACTTTCTTGGAGTCAGAAATGATTACTGGAACTGTCTTTAATCCCACACCTCACAGGGTTGCTGCAGTTTATAGAACTCGGGGGAAGGTCTTGCCCAGTCCCAGCCTTCATGCACACATCCAGCCACTCCCCAGCCTGTTCTTCCCCACCCATCTTCCCATATGTCCCTGTACAGGACTACGGGCTGCCTGGAATCCTGCCACTGTCTCAAGCCAAGCCACACTTTAGTAAACTAAATGTCACACCCCAGGCAAGAGCAGGGAGGGCAAGAACAGCTTCCCCCACAAGCTCAAACCAGGTGTGCTTGAGCTACAGACACCCGCTCTTACACAGAGGGCATTTGGAGAATGCTGAGAAAGTCTCCTCCTGCCCAAATATCTCTTTCCATAATGGGTTAAAGCTCTATGAGAGGCCAGACGTGGTGGCTAACACCTGTAATTCCAATACTTTGGGAGGCTGAGGTGGGAGGATCACAAGGTCAGGAATTCAAGACCAGACTGGCCAACATGATGAAACCCCGTCTCTACTAAAAAAAAAATACAAACATTAGGTGGGCATGGTGGCTTATGCCCGTAATCCTAGCTACTTGGGAGGCTGAGGTAGGAGAACTACTTGAACAGGGACCCAGGAGGCGGAGGTTGCAGTGAGCTGAGATTGTGCCACTGCACTCCAGCCTGGGCTACAGAGTGAGGCTCCATCTCAAAAAAAAAAAAAAAAGTTCTATATGAACATTTTTTGCTTTTAAAATGGGCATTTTTGCCTATTATATTTTTTTAAAATGTACACCCAAGGGACAGAAAATATTCATGACCTTAAACTTGAGTGGAAGTAGTTGATAGCACCATGGATAAAAATGAGCAACCTGTAACTAATTGTCTAATTACATGGCAACATCTAAACAATATCTAACCTATCTCTCCAGTAGACTTTTATACACACATTTTAAAAGTATGTAACAAATACTATTTAACATTATGTAATACATCTAAATGTTGCATGTACATTATGACTGTAACCATATTTAAGAATACAGAAAATAAGCTGGAAAGCCGTGTCAAATTGATAACTGCAGCTTTATTAAGGCAACTGGATTATGAGTGATTTCCTCTTCTTTTCTATTTTGTCAATTTCCAGTTATGTAATTTTGTACATATATAATGAAAATTTAGAAATAAAAAAGGGATTATGAGAGATAAAATGGAATTCTTGCAATCAGTGAATTAGCACTGTCTGCCCTGCTCATCTCCGTCCCCGGAAAGGAAGCATACCTTCCTGAAGTAGGCTTCTGATAAATACATGATCTTCTGAGGGGCTCCAGCACATTTCACTGGAGTATTTGGGAAGGTAAAGACGGCATTGCCCTCTTTGAAATCCTGCAGAGCTTTCCATGTCTTCTCTACGGTCTTAACTGAATAATTCGACCCTATTTTGGGATGAGCAAAACCTTCAGGTAGGCCTTTAATCTGCAACAAAGCACACAAAAATTCTTTTAAACAAAAGCACAGATGTCTTTAGAGTCCTTGTTCTTTGCCATTTCTACAACCTTTCAAATATTTCAGTACCGTCATTACCCTCCAATACCCAAGCGCCTGGCTCAGGCAGGTGGGTGAGGGTTCTAAGACCAGAGGTGTGGCACCTGTGGTCACCGGTCAAACTGCGGAATGGGCTCAGCTCAGAAGAACCCTCCAACCCTCTCATATTCTCCATATGAGAATATGATTTGAATATAACTTTTCCCACCATCAGAGTGAGGACAAGACACCAGCCAGCCTTCCTTTTAGGAGAGCCAGCTGCCTTACTCGAAAGAACAATTGGCAGGACCAAGGGCCATTTATATCATCAAGAATAGCAAATTTAATTCACCGTTCATCAGGCTGTACCAGACCAAACTCTAGGTAAAGGCAGTAAAGCCAGGTACCTAAAAACATGGACTTTAGAATCCCGCATACCAGTTTGAGTCCTTGCTCTTCCACTTACTAGCATTGTGACCCTGCATAAATTACCTCATACTTCTAAGTCAGTAGGTCTCCAAGTGTGGTCCTCAGACCGGCAGCATAAGCACCACCTAGGAACTTGCTAGAAATGCAGATTATCAGGCCCCACTCTAGACCTACTGAATCAGAAACTCTGGGGGTAGGCCCAGCAATCTGTTTGACAGGCCCTCCAGGTGATTCAGATGCACACTGAGGTTTGAGAATCTTACGTTCACCATCTGTGAAATGGGGATAAGGTACCTCCTTCACAGGGTTGTGGGCAGAAGTTAATGAGGCCATGCATGTAAAGGACACAGGTACATGGCAAGTATCCCGTAAATGTTAGCTTATTACTGCCAATAAGATCAACTGGAGGGGCCAGGTGCGGTAGCTCATGCCTATAATCCCAGCACTTTGGGAGGCTGAGGCGGGCGGATCACAACGTCAACAGATCAAGACCATACTGGCCAGCACGATGAAACCCCGTCTCTATTAAAAATACAAAAAGTAACTGGGCGTGGTGGCACGCTCCTTCTGCCTCAGCTTCCCGAGTAGCTGGGTTGACTACTCTCGTTTAGTAGTCCCGGCTACTCGGGAAGCTGAGGCCAAGGAATTGCTTGAACCCAAGAGGTGGAGTTTGTAGGAAGCCGAAATCGCACCACTGCACTCCAGCCTGGGTGACAGAGTAAGACTCCATCTCAAAAAGAAAAAAAAAATCAACTGGATATCTATTATAAATGTTAGAAGGCTCATGGAGCACAATGAAGATGACACAGACTGAGTTAAAGAAACTTAAGCCCTAGTTCTTAGCAAGAGCAGGTTCAACTTCAATAATCAAGAAACAGTCATCAAGATAGGCTGGTCCTTCAGAGCCTCCCCAGGCCATTCTCTGGGCCACCTCCAAAGTCACTCCAGATACCTATCTCTGAAGTCTCAAGAAACAGAATCCTCTCATCTCCTCAGTGGCCTGGGTTCATTACTTAGCCACACTCACAGTTTAAAGCAACTATTCCTTTGTTACTGTTCACCCGATACAGTTAGATAGTAGTAACATTGGCAGTCTCAATAACAATAACTATCATTGTTAATATAAAATAACCTTGCATTTTAATGTTTCCAAAGTATCACATCAATGCTAACATTGGATATTCACCATGTACCTCTGAGGGAAGCAAGGGAATAATATTAGCCCATAGAATAGATGGAGCCCTGCCCAGAATCTTAAAGAACCAGATGCCAAGGCCTCCGCCCACCTGCCTGGGGGTCTTCTCACAGGACCGCCATACCTTCTAGTTCCCAAAGCAAATCTCACTGTCCCAGAGATAAACAAGCAGTTGATGTCTTATCACCTTCATTATTTTTCTCTAGCTTTAAGAAGCTGTCGTTTTTGAAAAGGTGTCATGAAGTGGCAACCGAGGTTTTTTTCAGAAAAACCTGTGTAAAGGGTGGTTTTGACCCCTCATTCAAAGTTGCTTCCCTGGAAATGCTGAAGCAGAGAGAGGTAGGGAAAAGGGGAGAGAGGGAAAGGCAGAAGCAGGGAAAGAGATGAGGTGTGACTGTCCCTTTGGCTTCCAGCAACAGGCTGAGAACTAGGGAGCTGTGGACTATCCTACGACACAGAGTAGACCGGCAGGCAGGACGGCCTGCTGCAGAGACCCTGTGAAGCGGGTCTGAGAAAGAGGCTGAGAGAGATGGACAAAAAGAGGTTTCCTGAGTCCAAGAGAACCCAAAGTGGAGATCCAGCCCTGCCAGAGGCCCACCTGCATTCCTGCCCTAGTGTCTCAGAAACATCTCAGTTTTTTCAACAGATGATCTCCACTTTTTATTTACATCAACCTGAGTAGTTTCCTTGAATTTCAATCAAGAGTCCCAAGTAGCACAGTGACCATGGTTAAGTGATTACATCCCCTTAGCCTCAGCTTCCTCATCTATTAAGTGGAGATAAAAATGCCTTTCTCACAAGCAGTTGTAAAGAATCAATTTTTGACTCCTGGCTGGGCGCAGTAGCTCACGCCTGTAATCCCAGCACTTTGGGAGGTTGAGGCAGGTGCATCACTTATGGCCAGGAGTTTGAGAACAGACTGGCCAACACAGTGGAACCCCATCTCTACTAAAAAAAAAAAATACAAAACCTAGCCAGATGTGGTGCTAGGCACCTGTAATCCCAGCTACTCTGGAGGCTGAGGCAGGAGAATTACTTGAACCTGGGAAATGGAAGTTACAATGAGCCAAGATCATGCCACTGCACTCCAGCCTGGCTGACAGAGCAAGACTCCATCTCAAAATAAAAAAGAATCAATATGTGATTCCTAGTGTGGTTCCTGGTATATAATAGAAATTCCTTAATAATAGCTACTTTTAAACATCACTGTGACTTGGTTTCCTACAAGAGGCTGCTATGAACTCTGAGCACTGGCCTCTGCAGTCCTTACATGACACTGCGGCTGTGGGAAGACAGTACCACAGAGATGCATTGTCTTTCCTAGGTCAATACTGTGGGGGCTTTTTTGGAAGGTATGGACCTCTCGAAAGTAGTTGTAATAGGCACCTTTCTCCATATTGTCTACTTGGTCGCTTGCCTGTCATTCTAACAGACTCATGGCCCATGGCACCATGACTCAAAATCATCTTACAACAGTCACAACAACTTGTTGCTTCTCTGAACTTTCCCACAACACATCCCAAGACATTTTCACTACCCTCCCCTGGATATGTCACAACTCGGGTTTATTTACATAGAAACACACTTCAAAGATGGTTACTGGGCCAACTCTGACCTTCCCAAAGCTCTTGACCCGGTTAGTACAGATGTTTCCTGTATTCCAACTATTTACCTGTAGTCCCCAACAAGCTTCTGGAAATGATAATATTTACCGATTTACTTTACTATGTTTTAGAAAAATAAACTTGAATCTCACAACTGTCAGATCACATCTGGCTCCCTAGCTTACTGAAAAGGGAGATCTGGGGAACTTCTGGGTGGCATTTCTACTGCATCGGTTACTTCATACCAAAAACCCAGCATCTACACAACAAAACCCAGATGTCCCTCCAGCAACTGATGAACTAACTGCTGGGGTTCTACCCCTTAAAGTCTGCTTTAAAATTTACAATCTAAATCCTACTCCAAAGGAAAATTTAATCTTCAATACAGCCAATTCAGTGTCACATAGAAAGGCAGCTTTCTTACAAATGTGGAAAGAAAACTGCTGTTTTGCAAGAATTATCATTAAGCATGAGTATGCTGAACTCTGATTAAAGCTTAAAGCTAGAATATATTAGTATTATTATTGACAGACTCTTAGAGAAGGCTTCCTTAAAACTATAAAAGGACGGCCAAGAAATCAAACCATAAGATATTTTCTTAGAACCCCTTTCTTATCAAATGAATATAATAAACCAACTAAATGCAGCATTTGCTCGGCATAGATAAGCCAGCATAACACAGGAAGTTTCACACAGTACCTTCTCATAGTCCAGCTGGATTCCGAGAGCAATAATAAGATATCGGTAGGAGATCTGCAACACAAATAGACATTATTTTAGACCAGGACCCAAGAAACAGAAGCTGAAGGACTGACTTAGGCCCTAGATGTGGTTCCATGTGGTCTGAGGGAGGCAGGGAAATATTATTATCCCATGGAACGGATGAGAAAGCTGAAGCAGAGCAAGGTTGGGAGTCCCGCTCAGGTTCCCATTTTTTAATCTGAATGTCTTGGGGCTAGTAGGTGGGCAGACAGGAAGGGAGGGGTCCACTCACCATCACACCTTCTGTTGTCTATGCCTCACATCTCACTGCTTCACAAATATTTTATAACCTGCCTAGGCCCAGAAAGCTTGAGACAGCTACATGTTTACACAGTGAGAGGCCACAATTATTTGTACGGTACTTGTATTAACACTTTTTCATATTGAGAGATAAGAGAATGGCTTCCTAATCTTAAAAGACAATCAACTGTCTAAAATCTATGGCGTAGGCCAGGCACAGTGACTCACACCTGTAATCCCAGCATCATGGGAAGCCAAGGCAGGTGAATCACTTGAGCTCAGGAGTTGGAGCCCAGCCTGGGCAACATGGCAAAACCCTGTCTCTACAAAAAATACAGAAATTACCCAGGTGTGGTGGCATGTACCTGTAGTCCCCAGAGGGCTGAGGTGGAAGAATTGCTTGAGCCTGGGAGGTGGAGGATGCAGAGATCACACCACTGCACTCCAGCCTCAGTGACAGAGTGAGACCCTATCTCAATATATATATATATATTTGAATACATATACTATATATGTAAATACCAAGCAAGTCTGACTTATCATGTGGATTGGACCAATATCATAATTGGGAAATTGCTCTTTTGAAGGTTATTGAAAGGCTATGATATAGTGCACCTGATCTTATTTAATGAACTGTATGGGATGAAAAAAAGTCCCCACTTCAAATATGGGTATTGTACCCATAAACAGCATGATGGAAATGTGGGTTTAGGACAAAGAGGAAGACAAATTTAGACCCAAAAGTGTAAGCAAAGTGGTGATAAAATACAAGAACTTGCCTAGAAAACCGGAGCTGGAGAATTGCCATGAGGCTCAGGAGCCCAGGAAGAAGAAACAGGTGGTGATTACCATGACCCTGTACTAAATGACCAAGCAGAGCAAGCAACCTGAGCAAATCACAGTTGGAGAGAGAGGACTCCAAGACCTAAGAGCGCTCGGCTCTGGCTGAGGAGCCAAGAGAAGCAAGGTGCAGAAGAGGTCCTGCCCTGGCATCCGGGAGCTTCAGCCCCAAAGGCACCTCAGCAGCAGGCTTTTCTGTTATGACACCATCACCCTCACCACGGGCCCCTCCCAGAAGCTCCCCCGCACAGTGTGCACGAGGCTTCCTAGCACTTGTTCTCCCCACCACTCTGACCCCTACGAAAGGATAAAAGTTCTGTCTTATTCCTTATATTCCTAGAGTCTAGCATGGTCACTAAATCTAAGTGAGGAACTCTGTAATGTGTTCTGGGTGAATGGATAAATGAATGATTTCAGTTGCTTGTGAAAAATACAATTTCTCTAAGTGAATAGATAATACAAGCATTTTCATCTGTCTAAAACTGAAGCAGAGCAGGGTTGGGAGTCCTGCTCACTTTTGCCTATCCATAGAAAGATGATGTCTTGAAATTCCATCTTCTGCAGGTACATGCACCAGGTCTGTTAAATGGCTGGCCAACCCGTGTTGAGCGACCAAGGCATATTAGGTAAGAGCTAGCGTGGGGCCTGGTGGTGATGATATGCAGCTGAAACATATGACCACTGTCAACAAGGGGAGCTTCTGGTTTGTGCAGGCCACCACCAAGCACAGTACAACATAATATTGATCATGCTCTATTTTATTAGAGCATAATATTCATTATGTCTAAGGACTAAAAACACACAAGCTTAAGATTATGGGGGAAAAATTATTAAGAGAGAATAAACCCTCAATAGCAAGAGAACAAGAAGAAAACCTCAGGCTTTTTGAATGAATTCAAGTTTTCACGTCAGATGACCTAAACCCTCAGAAATGGCAAAAGCCAATAGACAAGACTTTTGGGCAGTTACAGACAACTACACTGCAGTGTAGACCTTGCCAGAAGGCTGAACATGTACAAGTGTTCTCATATTACACAGGGGTCAGAGAGAGAAATTCTCACACTAACCCCTTAGTAAATAGGCTATTAATCCCTTGCAAAAGTCTAGGCTTAACTACTAAATAGACATCTCATAGTAATTTTTTAAAAGATTACCCAGGCATGGCAGTGTGTGCCTGTAATCCCAGCTACTCAGGAGGCTGAGACAGATAGTTTGAGCCCAAGAGTTCAAGGCTGCAGTGAGCTGTGATCTCGGCACTGCACTCCAGCCTGGGCGACAGAGCAAGGCTCTCTGAAGAGAGGGGGGAAGAGGATGGGGCAGGGAGGGGAGTGGAGGGGAGGGGAATGGGAGGGGAGGAGAATGGGAGGGAGGAAAAGGGGGAAGGGAAGGAAGGAGGAAGGAAGAGAAAGAGAGAAACTGATAAAGGAAGAAAGCAAGAAAGAGAGAGAGGAAGGAAGGAAGGAAGGAAAGAAGGAAGGACAGACGGGAGGGAGGGAGGGAAAGGGCACCAACATAGGTTCACAGATGATAAGCCTGCTGCTTTCAATCAGCAATCAACAGTCAAGAACTGCTGGCATATAGTAGATACTCAATAAATATATCATTTTCCTTTTTATGTGTTATTTTAAAAATAACAGCAACATTTATTGATTATTTGCTGTGTGCTAGGCGCTGTTTTAAGTGCTTCATATCTCACTCATTTAACACTCACAACAACTTGATAAGGTAGCTAGGTACTATTATTATTCTTATTTTACAAATGAAGAAACAGGCACAATTTGCTCACAAATATTTACTGAGCACCTTCTATGTGCCAGATATTGTGCTAGGTCCTGGGCATAAAACAATGAAGAAGAAGGATACACTATCTGCTCCACAGGAACTCCATCTAGTAAGTGAGACAGGCATTACAAGATAATCACACAAATTATTACTAAATCACAGAATGCTATGATGGCATGTCAAGGGGTAACCTGACCTAGTCTGGGAAGTCAAGGAAGGCTTGCCTGAAGGAGTCATATCAAAGCTAAAGATGCATAGGAGCTAGCAAGAGATAGAGGTGGGAGCAACATGTGCAAATGTCCTGGGGTTAGAAAAAGGCTGAGGCATTTGAGGAAATAGCAGGCCAGTATGGCATGAGCAGGAACAAGGGGAGAATAGAACCAGGTTAAGTCTGGAAAAGGAGCCAGGGCCGGTCTACACAGAGCCTTGAGATGTGTTTCAGACAAACACACCCCTGGATCAGGGGAGAGTCAGAGACACACTGAGTCTAGGTTTCAGCAATGCCTTCAGCTCAGTCTTTCACCTAGTGAATAAGGTGGGAAAGTATAAACTAAGAATGGAATGGACCAGACACAGTGGCTCCCGCCTATAACCCCAACACTTTGGGAGGCCAAGGTGGGTGGATCACCTAAGGTGTGGAGTTCGAGACCAGCCTAACCAACATCGCAAAACCCTATCTCTACTAAAAACACAAAAATTAGCTGGGTGTGGTGGTACACACCTATAATCCCAGCTACTGGGGAGGCTGAAGCAGGAGAATCACTTGAACCCGGGAAGCAGAGGTTGCAGTGAGCCAAGATCGCACCACTGCACTCCAGCCTGGGCAACAGAGTGAAACTCCATCTAAAAAAAAAAAAAAAATACAGAATGAAACGATTTGGTCAATTGAATAATATTTGCTAAAGAATGTTGATTAATTTTGTGCAATCTAAAAAACCTCCCTAGGGACATGTTACAGAATTAAAACCTTGAACTTATATGAAACCATCTGTGAATAAGAGATAGGAAAAATTGCTAATGGAGTGACAGTCATAAATCCAAAAGACCCAGATAGGTTGGGAAGATGATTTCTGATATCTGGCTATAAAGTAGTTTTGCTTCATAAAATCTTGGAAGAAAGTCCTACTACATTGCACCAACTTCTTCTCTGGCCCTAAAACACGGCACTGCAGCTTTCCTAAATGTCCAGCCTTAAGAGTAATAGGTAGGACGCAGTAGTGAGAACACCTGCTAGCGCCTGTCATTCCCAAGAGATGAGTAAAGTATACAGTCCTTGAGATAAGCAGGAACCCAACCACAGAGGACTCTAAAGCTCTTCCTGTAGCTTGAAGGTACCCGAACAATCAGACAGGCCCTGCTGTACCAAAGAGATGGTGTGTGTGATACAAGAGAGGTCTCCTGGCCTGTGTGCAGGAGACTGGCAACGTAAAAGAGCCACCAAGCTCAACCTTGTGAACTGAGAACAATCTTGAGTGTAATTCAGTCCAGTCTCCTGGAGACATTGAGCAAAATAAGAAAGTTCTGAACTATTAACAGGACAAAAGCCACATATAATTTTTTAAATTTTTAATTAAAATAAATATATATGCATATATGTATTTGCTTATATATATTCATTTCTGCCTTTAGGTAAAATCAATGACAACTGCACTTTTTCAGGATGGGGGAAGCCTGACTTGATCATGGGTCATGTGAAAAGGGCCCAGAGATGTGCACTGACCTCAAGCCCAGCGTGAATCTGCACCGTGGTAACTGTCACTAAAAAGGCAAATGCTAACTTAGGCAGCATGCGATATGGAAGAGAATGGCTCCACTCTATTCTGGGCTGTTCTATAAAATTCCTTCTCTTCCAGGCACCTCTTTCATGCGGCACTAACAAGCCAGATGGTGTCCAAAGCAGAATAAAGAGGGTGCTGGAAGGACTGGAAACCATGAAATGTGAGGAAGAATTGAGGGACATGAGGATGGGGGGATACATCTACCTAAAGAGAAAATGTATATAAAACAGAAGAGCCACCTTCAAATAGCTGAAGGGTTTCTCCACAGAAAACAGAGAAGACATTCGTCTCTCATGCACAGGACAAAACAAAGAATAAAAGTATTAAGAAAGTATTAAGTATGTTAAAAAGAACAACATCCTGGGTGTCCAAGACAGAATACAAAAAAGGTTACAGGAAGGTGGATTCTGGCTCAGTAAAGACAGAACTTTCATATAACCCACCTGTCTAAAAATATGAAGACCTAACTTATCAGAGAACTCCTTGGTCATGGACTATGTAAATACCGACCTATTTTAACTTTAAGCCCCCACCTCCATGTGCCCCAATACCAATTAGCTCCAAATCAGCTCTAGTTTTTTCCATGAATAACCATCCTATTCTAACATACTATATAATTTACTTATTATGTCTATTGTTGATTGCATGTTCTCCCTGACTAGAATATAATATCCAGTTCAGTAAGGAATTCTGTCTGTTTTCGTTCATTTACGTATTCTTAATGCCTAAAACTGCACCTAGCTTATAGTAGATGCTTAATAAATATTTGTGGAATGAATGAATGGAGGCCAAGGAGCATAAATGCTACATACAGCAGGTACTCTTTTTTTTTTTTTTTTTGAGACGGAGTCTTGCTTTGTCACCCAAGATGGAGCGCAGTGACACAGTCACAGCTCACTGCAGCCTTGAACTCCTGGGCTCAAGTGATCCTCCCACCTCAGCCTCCCAAGTAGCTAGAACCACAGGCACACACCACTACACGTAGCTAATTTTTTTAATGTTTTTGTAGAGACAAGTTCTCACTACGTTGCTCAGGCTGGCCTCGACCTCCTGGGCCCAAGTGATCCGCCTACCTGAGCCTCCCAAGGTGTTGGGATTACAGGTGTGAGCCACCACACTCAGCCAAAGCAGGTACTCTTGATCAGGGTCCAGGGAAAAGCTACAGAAAATCTCTGGACTCCCTAAAAGCAAATGCAAAATCTGGTACATATGTGCATTTTTCTAGAGAGGGCTTTCATCTAGTACCCAGAAAGATCCATGACCCAAAAAAAGCTTAAGAATGCCTCAGCAGTCCAGGCGTGATGGCTCACTCCTATAATCCCAGCAATTTGGGAGACTGAGGCAGGGGGATCGTTTGAGGTCGGGAGTTCAAGCCAGCCGAGCCAACATGGTAAAAACTCATCTCTACCAAAAAATACAAAAATTATCTGGGCATGGCTACACACACCTGTAGTCCCAGCTACTGGAGAGGCTGAGGTGGGAGAATAGCTTGAACTTGGCAGGTGGAGGTTGCAGTGAGCCGAGACTGAGCCACTGAACTTCAGCCTGGGCAACAAAGTGGGACTCCGTATCAAAAAAAAGAATGCCTCAGCAGATGAATCTCTGTTGGAGAGAAGGTTTGGACTTGAAAACGTTTTAGATCCTCACCAACTCTGATTTTACAATTCCGTGAAAATGCCAGAGTCACCAATTGAAGGGTGAAGGCACAGAGGATTAAGACCAATAACACCCTGGGAGCCCAAAATCCACAGGACCCTGGAACAGGTCAGAGCACCGTGGCTGCGCTGCCTGCCCCTGTCCTGGGCTCGGTAGCAGGTAAGGGAAAGGAAGCTGCAGATGGCTTCTGAGCAGCTCTTCCACCATCCTGCTCTTATCACCTCATTCAAACATGGGGCAGCAGCTGCAGAAAAGCTTTGGCCCCTCAGAGGTGAGGGTGGGAGACTTCTAAGAGGTGCTGAGCAGTTGTGAGCCTCAAGCTTTGGCAGCAATTCTCCCTAACGCTGGCATGAATCTCAGAGTCCCAGGGCTTCCCTACAGCTCTGGCAGAGCGCCCCCTAGGATGCATGGATGGATATTTTTCCAGCATCCTATTGCTCTGGGAGGCTAGGTCTTAAGAGAAAATCCGGTTGCTTCAAAAAAATAAAAAGAGGAAAGTGCTTGCTATTGTAACATGTAGCAACATATGAACAAATGGTTCACTAAACATTCAGGTGAAACATACTATACTAAGCAATAGGGTGTACAGTGGGTGTTCAACAAACACTCATCTTAGTTGTTTATTAACTCAACATCACTCAGTCCTTCCATCTGTCCTCCACTTACCACATACCCTGCCATCTTGTGCAGTATTCAACACATACGTACATACGCACACATGCATAGATACACTGCTCTTTCAACACAAGGCTATCCAGTTTAAGATGCTTGCATATTGGGCCAGATGTGGTGGCTCACGCCTGTAATCCCAGCACTTTGGGAGGCCAAGGTGGGCAGATCACAAGGTCAGGAGTTCAAGGCCAGCCTTGCCAATATAGCGAAACCTTATCTCTACTAAAAATACAAAAATTAGCTGGGTGTGGTAGCACACATCTGTAATCCCAGCTACTTGGGAGGCTGAGACAGGAGAATCACTTGAACCCAGGAGGCGGAGGTTGCAGTGAGCCAAGATCGCGCCACTGCACTCCAGCCTGGGTGACAGAGTGAGACTCCATCTCAAAAAAAAAAAAAAAAAAAAAAAAAACGCATTAAAAAAAAAAAAGATTGCATATTAATACAAGCCCTCAGATTAACAAAAAACCCCAAGACCCTAGTAGTTACCTCCTTGCCGTTGTCTGTGTGAATGCAGTTCTTGTCTAGGTTCAACTCAACCACTCTAGCTTTGATCCACTCTACACCAGATGGAATCACACTCGCGGTGGGGCGGCCAGAGGAGGACAGTTGTTTGGCACCAGCACCCACCAGTGTCCAGATTGGCTGGTAGAAATGTCTCTAAAAAACAAAGTATTTGAAGATTTATTGCAATTTGATGCTGATCAAAAAGGGTCATAGCTAGCAGCATGAGCTAGATTCTCTGTTACTCCCTCCCGACCCTTAGAGCATTGTATGGAAAAGTCTCCACAAAGTTAGCTCCCCCTATTAGACGTCTCCTTTTATGGGGAGCTCTGAAGGATGGTCATTCAACACGAGAATTCTTCCAAGATTGTCGAAAAAGCTATAAACTATCTTTAGTGACCGCTGCATTATTTATTGCTGAAAGTTGGTTTGGTGTTTAAAATGTACATGTTATATACACATGCATATCCATACATTTATTATGGGTACTTTATGTGAACAAATATTTTAAAAATTAAGACTGGCAGCCCAAATATGGTTCCTCAGGAGCATGTGGAGACAGTGGTAAGTCTGGAGAGTTTACAGCCACTTCCAGGGATCCTCTAAGCTTCATTAGCTTCCAACTGTTTTTCCTAAGTCCAATGAGGGCTGTGTTTACTGATCAGCCCTTCTTCTACTTTCTCAGACACTCAGAGATTTCACACCCAAAGACAATACGTGCCAGATCCTACTCTACAGTGCAATGCATACTCAAACTTTCATTATTTTCTGGAGTTTTCTTGCTTCAGATGGTCCATTCTTTTTTCTACAGAGTCTCGCCCTATCACTCAGGCTGGAGTACAGTGGCGTGATCTCAGCTCACTGCAACCTCCACCTCCTAGGTTCAGGTGATTCTCTTACCTCAACCTCCCAAGTAACTGTGCTGTCACACCTGGCTAATTTTTGCATTTTTAGTAGAGATGGGGTTTCACCATGTTGCCTAGGCTGGTCTTGACTTCCTGACCTCAGGTAATCTGCCCACCTCAGCCTCCCAAATTGCTGAGATTACAGGCGTGAGCCACCGTGCCCAGCAACAGATAGTCCATTCTTGATCTAAGTTAGTGTGAAAGTTCCGGACATAGGGGCAAAGGGCAGACTTGTTTAATGGCCTCTAAGAATTCCAATCCACTTAGAGTAGACTGGGGACCAAGAGTTCTCAATGCTGCCAAAATGCCTCAAAGTGGCTGGCCAGCATTGCCAAAACCCACAGAGAGGTGAAGAGGACACCAGGAATGACTTTGCAATCTCTCTACAATCAATAATATGATCCAAGAGGAGGGAGAGGTCTCCAGTTATAGGAGCTCATCACTGGCCAGTTTATCTTGAACAGTAAGAGGAGCAAAAACACAAGCACAGATTTTATTTTTAGACTATGAACATCAGCTTCAGCTAGCACTAAACCAGACTCACCAGGGAAAGTACCAAGCCTGGGGCTCTGGCAGCTCCTTCCAGAAATTCCTGTCCTGCACTTCCTCACAGGGCAGGACAAACTTGATTTTGGCCACCGAATTGTGCCCAGCTCCCAGAAGAGCCAGTGTCCTTACAAAGAGAAGCCCGGCTGGAGACCTGCCCATGCATTGGCTAAAATACAACATACACCGGAAAGAGGGGCCACCTGATACAGCTCTCAGACCACTGCCGTGTAAGTGATGTTCCTGAATTGAAGAGACACCGCTTTAAAAAGGAAAATGATAGAGACTGTCCCCGTTTCCTCTCAAATCATGGCCCTGGGTAACATCATCCCCTACTGGGAACGAGTCTTGGAAAGGAGTATGCCTTCTTCGTCACATCCCCCCTCTGAAACAGGCATCTGATCCACTTTGCTTTTTCCTCCCAAGGACACAGCTCCCAACCGGTACATGCCTAGTTCCACGGGAAACATTACGCAAGCCACCACAACCCTCGAAGACTTTTCTGAAGCTTTTGGACAATCTTAACATGTCTTTTGTGAGACAGTGCCTTACTCAGTGTTCCCTCCTAGTGCTAGCTACCTTTTCTCCCTTATAATCTGCCCTTGCATTTAAATTTCTAAGCCCACTGACAGCTTTTCAGAGGTCTCCCGGCTCCACAGCTCATCCTCCCTTCTACAGAAGAGAACAGATAGGAAAGTGCAGCAGCCACTGATTCTCCTCTGGGCAGGAGGGTGGCATCGGGAGAATGTCGTGGGTTGAACTGTGTCTCTCTCAAAGAAGGATGTTAACATTCTAACCCGAGTGCCCGGGAATGTGACCTTATTTGGAAATAGGGTCTTTGTAAATGTAATCGAATTAAGATGAGGTCATTCTTGAATAGAGTGTGCCATAAATCCAATGACTGGTGGCTTTGTAGGAGAGTCGTGTGAAGACACAGGGACACACAGACACACAGAGAACAACCTGTGAAGATGGAGGCAGAGAAGGGAGCGGCACAGCTGTAAGCCAGGGAGTGGCGAGGATTTCAGGGTAAACACCAGAAGCTGGGGAAGAGGCATGAGACAAATTCCCGTCCATCCCCCTCACCCAGGCTGCAGAGGGAGCGTGGCCTTGCCCATAGCTTGGCTTCAAACTCCTAGTATCCAGAACTGCGAGGGAATAAATGGCTGCTGTTTTAAGCCACCCAATTTGTACTGATTTGTTATGGCAGCCCCAAGAAACTAATACAGAGGAGAACACTAAAAGCCAAGAGATCTGTCCTCCCTCTCTCCTTCCCTCCACTTTCTCCCAGTCCTTCTGGATGGGCTGCTTTCTGTGCCCAGGAGAAGCACTAACATGGGCACATGAAGACCCACTGCTTGATAGTCATGCCCAACCCTGGAACACACACACAGGTGCACACACACACACACACACACACACACGCACACATATACACACACACGTGCACACACACCCAGGCACTCAATAGGGGAGGCTTACCTCACTGGGCTCAACAACGGCCACATTCTCTGCACCCACTTTCCTCTTCATGCGGGCGGCCATGGTGATCCCACCACTGCCCCCACCCAGCACCAGCACCTCATAATGCTTCCTGGCTGTGTGGCTGGCCCCTGTGTGCAGCTGAAGGGGGCCGACCTGCTGAGTGCCCAGCCTGAGCAGGCAGGCAAAGAGCTGGGCACGGGGCACCGCCACCACCGCCACCAGCGGGACCATCTTCAGGCAGGATCAGGCTGGAAGGGAAGAGACAGGGCTGTGAGTGCCAAGGTAGAAATGATCGTGTGACTGAAGTGCTTTCTTTCCAGGAGGAAGGGAGGCTGGCATCTGGCCCCTCCAGCTGGTCCCCATTCTCTCTCAAGACCACTTCCCCCACTGGCTATGGTCCCAAGGTGGCCCGAGAGCACCCAATTGGTAGCTATCAATGGGCTACGCTTTCCATTTCTCCCCTTCCTGCTACGTTCAGGCCATCGAGGACTTTGTTTGAAACAGGTTCCCAAACTCTTTAAGTCCTTCCTAATAATCTGTCTGTACCCATCCTTGTCCATCCGTAAGATCCAGGGCACCATCTGGTTTATCCAGCTGTCAGCCCATTCTCCACCGAGACACACTCCCCAATGCTTTCTTTGGGTTTTCAGTCCATTAAAACTGATACATAAGTCCACAAATAGAGGCCTGCAACATTCCTTGCAGTAAAAGGCACCTGAGACCTTGCGGAAACAGAAACTGTCTAGCAAGAAACCCACCTTCTGCAACTCAGAGTGCCCACCAAGGCAATCAAGGCCTCAGCCCCTGGGGCCTCCTGGCTCTGCTCACCCAGGGAAATACGATGTAATCAAATCATTAGCTACAGACATGCAGGTGAAGGCCCTCCACACCTCTAGCAATTTCAACCAGATGATTTTAGAAAGCCATAAAAGGAGCCCTGCCTGGTATCATAAAGTTATATTTTATAGAAGGAATCTGCACATGCTGCTGACCAGTCTTTTATTACATCCAATTCAGTAAACAACTCCTCCTTAATAGTTCCTCTGAGGGACTCACTTTACCTTTAAGAAAACCTGTTTCTACTCTGAGCAGTTAGTGCTTTAGCAGAGAGGAAATTAAGCCTTCTCAGAGGCTGACCTTTGCTTTACCCCACGTACAAAGCTGGCCTGACGCCCAGGACCCCATTCAATTATAAAACTTCAAGGGCCCCAACTCACGATATCTCCCTGCCTGGGTATAACAGTGCCCCAGATCCTACCGCCAAGTCCAGTTCTCTGGGTTCAACACTGCTCCAAGAACCCTTTGTTAAACGCAAGTGTCCAGCTGGGGATTAACACTTCTAGCTGCTAAGGTTACTAACTTCTTAATGAAATGACTTAATTATATCATTTCACCTCTGACTGGAGGAGAGGAAGGCTGCACAAGGGGATTAGAGAAAGCTGAGGGCAAAGGAGCTATAAAAAGAAGGAAAGGCCTTGGCGAGGGGGAAAATGGTAGGGAATGGAAAAGAGGAGCAGAGGAAACTTACCCTTTGACCCTGCATTTCCATTTCTAGGAATCTAATCTAAGGAAATAACCTCTAATACTGAAGAAGAAAAACCTTTACAAAGATGTTTCTCACAAATGTATTCATAATCCGGTCACCCCTCTGTTAATTGGTTTGTGGATTATTCCTAATTATGTCCTGGGGACAAAAAAAACTGCAGGCTCCACACAGGCCAGGGAAGGCTCCGGTCACCACTTTAATACCGGGGCAGAGAGCAATCTGAATATCAAAACAGTAGAGAAAGGTTAACTAAAATAAGGAACACAAGATGATTTATGCAGTCTTTTAAAATTATGTTCATAAAGAATATATAGGCTGGGCATGGTGGCTCATGCCTGTAATCCCAGCACTTTGGGAAGCCAATGCAGGCAGATCACCTGAGGTCAGCAGTTCAAGACCACCCTGGTCAACATGGTAAAACCCTGTATCTACTAAAAATAGAAAACTTTTTAGCCAGGCATGGTGGTGCGCACCTGTAATCCCAGCTACTAGGGAGGCTGAGGCATGAAAATTGCTTGAACCCAGGAGGCAGAGGTTGCAGTGAGCCGAGCCAAGATCATGCCACTGCACTCTAACCTGGGTGACAGAGTGAGGCTCTGTCTCAAAAAAAAAAAAAAAAGAATATATAAAATGTTTACATAGTGACCAGGATACAAATTAGAAATGCAATATTCTCTCAACTATGTAAGAGAAAATGTATTAAAAATAAACAAAGCCAAAATCTTAACACTGGTAAATGGTTTTCTCTGGGTTTTAGAATAACAAGTGATTTTGATTTCTTCTGCTTTTCTGTATTTTATAAAATCTCTACTATACACACAACATTTTAGTTATGGATACTGGCTGGGCATGGTGGCTCACATCTGTAATCCCAGCACTTTCGGGGGCAGAGATTGGGGGATCACCTGAGCCTAAGAGTCTGAGACCAGCATGGACAACATGAGGAAACCCATCAAAAAAAAAAATTAGCCAGGCATGGTGGTGCACACCACTTCATTGCTACATTCTTACAAGATGAAACACACTTAAAAATCCAGGCTGGGTACCATGGCTCATGCCCGTAATCCTAACACTTTGAGAGGCCCAGGCGGGAGGCATACTTGAGGCCAGGAGTTCAAGACCAGCCATGGCCAAGATGGTGAAACCCCATCGCTACCAAAAATACAAAAAAAAAGGTCTGTGTGCGGTGGCTCACACCTGTAATCCCAACATTTTGGGAGGCTGAGGCAGGTAGATTGCCTGAACTCAGGAATTGGAGACCAGCCTGGGCAACATGGTAAAACTCCATCTCTAGTAAAATACAAAAAAAATTAGCCAGGCATGGTAGCATGTGCCTGTACTTCCAGCTGCTCAGGAGGCTGAGACAGGAGAATTGCTTGAACCCAGGAGGCAGAGGTTGCGGTGAGCCAAGATCGGGTCCCTGTACTCCAGTCTAGGTGACAGAGCAAGACTGCATCTCAAAAAAGAAAAAAGAAATTAGACAGGTGTGGTGGCACATGCCTGTAGTTCCAGCTAGCCTGGAGGCTGAGGTAGGAGGATGGTTTCAGTCCAGGAAATGGAGGTTGCAATGAGCCAAGATCATGCCATTGCATTCCAGCCTGAGTGACTGAGCCAGACCCCATCAAAAAGGAGAAAAAAAAAATAGTCTCGTCACAGTAGCTCGTGCCTATAACCCAGCACTTTGGGAGGCCAAGGCGGGTAGACCACTTTAGGTCGAGTTCAAGATCTGCCTGGCCAACCTGGTGAAACCCCATCTCTAATAAAAATTTAAAAATTAGCTGGGTGTGGTGGCATATGCCTGTAATCCCAGCTACTTGGGAGACTGAGGCAGGAGAATCTCTTGAATCCAGGGGACAGAGGCTGCAGTGAGCCAAGGTCATGCCACTGCACTCCAGCCTGGGTGACAGTAAAACTCTGTCTCAAAAAAAAAAAAAAAAAAAATTGCCCATGTCCCACCTTCTCATCCGCCTTACTCCAGTAATTCTAAAAAGTGAGGCCAGGCACGGTGGCTCATGCCTGTAATCCCAGCACTTTTGGGGGCCAACGTGGGTGGATCACCTGAGGTCAGGAGTTTGAGACAAGCCTGGTCAACATGGTGAACCCTGTCTGTACTAAAAGCACAAAAAAATTAGCTGGGTATGGTGGCAGTTTCCTGTAATCCCAGCTACTTGGGAGGCTGAGGCAGGAGAATCAACCACTTGAACCCGGGAGGTGGAGACTGCAGTAAGCCAAGATTGCACCACTGCACTCCAGTCTGGCAACAGAACGAGACTCTGTCTCAAAAAAAAAAAAAGAAAAAGAAAATCAATAAATAAGGTAAATTAACTTTCATTTACCAAATGGCACATGCAATATATTTTATAATTAAATAATATTATGCTTTTAAGTTAGATAAAAATTCCTCTATTAATTCTAAATTGATTGAGTGCCTCCTTCAAAGGATCAGAATGAATGGTTTGATATGACTGCAGTCTAACTGGAGAAGAAAGTCCTGCTGATTTGAAAGACAAGGCAGCTGACTGGGCATTCCCTACTTTCATCACCAGCCCCTGGTTCCAGACCCAGTCTGGACAAGTCTTTGGGACTTCATACCTTTCCACTGCAGCCCTTCCTGGACAAGCAATACAGTCTGCCTGTGTCAAAAGCTTGCTAATCTTACATCACATGACGTGGTTTGTGAGCAGCTGGGGCACCTGGCAGAGTTCAAAGTGAGCTGCTGGCTAAGAAAGAATTATTCAGATCGTTCTTAATGAAAGATCCACCCAGCCAAGGGTTGTCATCAACCCTTCAGCTATTTTTGCTTTTGAGGACACAGTGTGTCTTTGACTTCCAACTGTTTTCTCTCAAGCCTAGGCCAGGCTGGGCCCACTCTGCTTTGAGTTTCAATAACCACAGGGTCAACCTTTAACCAATCACCTTTGTAGAACACCTCCAAAATCAAAGAGAAAAACAGACAACAATGAGTCTCCAGCTCTTGTCGCCCATCCTCTTCCTCCTGTCAGACCCAGCCCAAGCTTACTTACTGTGAGCTGTCGGTACTGATCTCTATAGCTTCCAGTCTCAGGGCATGAGTGAGCACTACGTACACAGTACAGGTCAGGCTTACACCTGGTGCCCGGGCGGAGAGACTGCTGGAACACTCCTCCTCCTCAGCTAGCTCCTCCCACTTGGGCTTTCTGGGAGTATTTAATTAAGTCAGCCCTAATGCTATCATCAGTTATTTATGCCTCTTAAGTAAATATTTTCTTTTTTCAAATCCAGAAGACAGAATTTGGTAGGAAAACAATTATCACTGCAATAAAAACTAACATTTATTGAGTGTTTACCAGTTGTACTCGTGCTGTCTCAAAGAATCCTTGTAACTTTATAAGTAGAATCCCCATTTTACAGATGATAAAATTGAGGGTTTGAGTAGAGGTAGAGAACTCACCTAAGGTCACATGACTAAGCAACAGAACTTAATTCAAACTAATAATTCAGGGAAATGCCTATAAACAGAAATTATATTATTGTATTGTATTGAATTATTTTTGAGACAGTCTCGCTTTGTCGCCCAGGCTGGAGCGCAGCAGCGTGATCTCCACTCACTGCACCCTCCACCTCCCGGGCTTAAGTCATTCTCGTGCCTCAGTCTCCCGAGTAGCTGGGATTACAGGTGCCCACAACCACACCCAGTTAATTTTTCAACTTTCAGTAGAGGCA